CCTTTCTTTCAAAAAGCAATAATATCAACACGAATGTGGCAAAATTCAAGGAGAATAGATACAGCATATATAGTATACCATATAATATGATATTTGATAGTTTAAAACACAAACCCTAACACGAAATGTCTAGAAAAAAGCCTCACAAAATAAGAAAAAAATGTCATTAAAACCTAAAAACTTCCTTAAAGAAATGATTAGTTAAATTTTCAATTTTATAGAAATAAATATCAATAAAAAAAATATAAATATTTAAAGTCACTTACCCTAATTTTCCTTATTATAAAAGATTCATGGCGTTTCGTTGATCGTTGACAATTTCGTTTTCGTTTTCCATTTTGATTTTTCATTCTCATTTTCATTGTAAACACTTTTATTTTCACTTTTCCCTCGGTGCACCATTAGCAGTTTGGCAAAAAAAAAATCGAAAAATATTATTAGAATAATGAAGGAAAAATAATGAAAAATAAACAAAATTTATAAAAATTTGCAAGGTTTAAGAAATTATTATAGTATATACAGGGGTATAGGTGTGGTATGCTGAAAGAGGAAATAATTGATATACATATAGAGATATATAGATATATATAGAAATATATAGAAATATAAAGAAATATATAGATATATATAGATATATATAGATATATATAGATATATATAGATATATATAGATATATATAGATCTATGTAAAGATATATAAAGATATATAAAGATATATATAGATATATTTAGATATATTTAGATGTATTTAGATATATAAAAGCCAAACTAAAGGCAATATTATGTCAGCAAAAATGGCATATAAGTATGTATTCACTGTAAAAATCAGTTTATACATACTTACATGACATCGCTATACTTTAACCATAACATTTGCCCTTATAAGGCTTAAGTTCTTAAAGAAGTTTGGCAAGCCAAACAGGAAGTACTTAGATATAATAACAAATATTAATAGTAATAGCAAGGAAAAAAGAATAAAACTTACCATAATTTTCCATACTATTATGAACTTTTTATACAAAACACAAGGTTCTTAACACTTTCTAGCACTTTGAAAATTATTTTACGTGGAATTTCATACTCGCCAAAATCGCCTTTCATTACACCTGTGAATATTTCTCAAATTAGTATGTTTTTATTAACAATTTTATATATATACTTACTTAGTTAGAAGCTCAACTCCAAGCTCCATCTCAATTTTCCCACTGCATAACGTCTCTTTCATTTTGGCATATCAAAAAGCCAAATTTCACATTAAATTAATATATATTTAACATATAAGAATATATGCTATATAGAATATATAGAGTTTGAAGAATATATAGACTATATAGAATATATAAAATTTGTTAAATATATAAAATATATTAATTATATTAAATAATAAAAAATATTTACAAAATATATAAGAAATATATACAAAATATTTAAATTGGAAGCCCATATTTATAGCATAAAAGCTTGTTGTATGTTAAAAGTAAAAATAAATGAAAATTTGAATAAAAGCCAAATTAAAGTCAAGATTCTTTGTATGAATATATATGAAAGAAATGCTTAAAAAATAAATATGTGGGGAAGAAATATATATAAGAAAAATGTATATGAACAGAAATAAATATGTACAGAAATATATATGTATGAAAAATGTCTGAGAAAAATATATGAAATAAATATAATTCAGTGTCGCTCACCCTAATTTTCCATAATATTCTTGGAATGAGTTGGTTATAGAGACAATTTACCTTGATTTCCCTCGCAGAACGTCGCTGTTTTCACACAAATTCACTTTTATACATACTTACATATATATGCAGTGCAAGTGCAAGTAGATGTGCAATTTCCCCGAAGCCCCCTTTGCTTTTGACAATATAAAATAGCTAAATACACTTTTATCTATTAGTAAAAAGCTAAAGCTCAGTCCTACGATCACTAAATAACACTTTCCAATAGCCAAAGTTCAAGCTTATGAATGGAAACTGTAAGATTGGAAGTCCCAGAGGGGAAAAAGAGCGGACAATTACGCTTCACACTTTCCAGTAGCTAAAACAACAAGTGCGAATTTATGAATGGACACTGGAAGACAGAGAGGGAAAATAGCGGACAATTACCCCTCACAACAGATCTTGAAAAGCTTTTATCTCTCTGCTTCCCCTCTCTCACTTTACTATTACTTCCCTCTCTGACTTTACTATTACTTCCCTCTCTCACTTTACTATTGCTCCCGTTCTCTCTTACTTTTCCATCTCTCACCTCTCTCTTCCATGTCAAAGCATTTTGCTGATAAGAAATTGCACGTCTTTACACACTTACATACACACATATGCAGGTATGTCACACACACACGCACTTTTCCGGCGGAGCACCCTTGGCATTTTCGCATAAAAAATAGTTAATTTCACTATTTTGCCAATATCTATTAACCACAAACCAATAGTCCTAGCCGCGATCACTTTTTTTTATAAGATTTGAACAACTTTTAACAACTTTTAGCACTTTTTACTTTCACAACACCATCCGGCCGCAGTTCGGCAAACGCACTTGTCAATGGTCACTGGAGAACTGAAATTAGATCTAGAGAAAAGAAGTGGGTGAGCTGCGTTCAAGAAGGGCTTTCAAAGTTCTGTGCTCAGCTCTCTCCCTCTCCCTGGGCTGCATATCATTACACACTGACATGCATACATATATAGGTAGAGAAGCAATTTTTCCCACGGTCCACTCATTGATTTTTGACATAGAAAATAGATAAGCTGGGTCCAAGAAGTGCTCTCAAAGTTCTTTGCTCAATCTTACCTCTCTCGCTCAGCTCCCTCTCCCACTCTCTGGGCTAAATTGCATATCACTACATACTGACCTACATACATATATATGCAGGTTTGTATAAGTAAATACGCATTTTTCCCACGGTCCACTCTTTGATTTTGGGCATAGAAAATTAGTAAATTTTACTATTTAACCAATTAACGATTAAACATAACCCCAACTACTTTACGGCGATCATTTTTTTGTTTAATTTTAACAACTTTTAACACTTTTTAGGAACTTGCAGGTAAATTATATTACATAATATGCAAAAATAAGGTCATTTACAGAATTTTTTTGTGACGGGGGCCTTTAACAGATCTTAAGGTAATTTATAGAATTTGTGGTGGAATTTGATCTTCGCTTTGCCTCACCTCCACTCTCGCCCTCACTTTTCGAGAGTGAACCAAGAAGGGCTTTCCAAATTCTGCTCCCCTCTCTTACTTTACCCTCTTGTTTACCTGCAGGTAAAGCACATTAAATAATATGCAAAAATAAGGTAATTTATAGAATTTGAGGTATTAGATTTTGATCGGCCTCCCCTCCCTCTCGCCATAACTTTTCGAGACGAGACCAAGAAGGGCTTTCAAAGTTCTGCTATTACTTAACCTCTTGTTGACCTGCCGGTAAGGCATATTAAATAATGTGCAAAAATAAGGTGATATACAGAATTTGTAGGTGACGGGAGCCTTTCATACATAGATCTTAAGGTATTTATAGAATTTGTGGTATTTGATCTACGCTTTGCCTCACCTCCCTCTCAACCTCACGAGAGGAGACCAAGAAGGGCTTTCAAAGTTCTAACTTTACCTTATTGTTTATCTAATCAGGTAGGCATATTATATAACATGCAAAAATAAGGTAATTTACAGAATTTGTAGGTGAGAGAGACTTTTCACAGATCTTCGCTCGGCCTCCGCTCCCTCTCGCCCTCACTTTTCGAGAGGGAACCAAGAAGGGTTTTCAAAGTTCTAACTTCACTTTCTTGTTTATCTAATCAGGTAAGCATATTATATACTATGCAGAAATAAGGTAAATTATAGAATTTGTAGGTGAGAGAGACCGTTCACAGATCTTCGCTTTGCCTCACCTCCCTCTCGCCCTCACTTTTCGAGAGGGAGCCAAGAAGGGCTTTCAAAGTTCTGATCTCCTCTCTTACTTTACCCTCTTGTTTACCAGCAGGTAAGGCAAGTTATATAATATGCAAAAGTAAGGTAAATTACAGAATTTGTAGGTAAGCGGGCTCTTTCACAGAATTTTATAGAATTTGTGGTATAAGATCTTCGCTTTGCCTCACCTCCCACTCGCTATAACTTTTCGAGATGGTTTTTCAAAGTTCTAACTTTACTTTCTTGTTTATCTAATCAGGTAAGCATATTATATAATATGCAGAAATACGATAATTTACAGAATTTATAGATGAGAGGGCCCTTTCACAGATCTTTCCTAGGCCTCCCCTCCCTCTCGCTCTACTTTTCATAAGGCATATTATATAACATCCAAAAAAATAAGGTAATTTACAGAATTTGTGGTTTTCGATTTTCGCTCGGCCTCCCTTCCCTCTCTCTCTTGCTATCACTTTTCGAGACGAGTCCAAGAAGTGCTTTCAAAGTTCTGCTCTCCTCTCTCACTTTACCCCCTTGTTTACCTAATCAGGTAATGCGTATTACATTTTTGATATTAAAAGTAAGGTAATTTGCAGATTTTGGTGAGAGGGGCCTTTCACAGATTTTCCCTCGCCCTTCCTTCTCTCTCGCTTTAACTTTTCATAAGGCATATTATATAATATGCAAAAATAAATTAATTTATAAAATTTGTGTTTTTAGATTTTCGCTCACCTCGCTTCCCTCTCCCTCTCGCCATCACTTATCGAGAGGTAACCAAGAAGGTCTTTCAAAGTTCTGCCCTCTCCTCTCACCCTCTATATCTCTTTACCCATTTGTTTACCTGCAGGCCAGGCATATTATATAACATCCAAAAACAAGGTAATTTACAGAATTTGTGGATCCAAGTGAGAGAAGAGGTTTCAAAGTTCTGCTCTCCACTCTCGCTCTCTCAGCTAATGCGTATTAGATAAAATGCAAAAATAAGGTAAACAAGTCTTCTCTAATATTACAGGTATAAAAGTAATATTTTTTATTAAAAATTGAAGAAACTATTAAATTATTTCTTACTTTTATGAAATAAATAAATCGAAAAATAGGGGTCTATTATTTTGTTTTATTTGAGATCCCCTAAAACCCCTTTACATTTCTTATAAATATTTAATTAATTCTCAGGATTGGCCACCACAGCTTCTTCCTTGACTACGCTCTCCTCTTCTTTTGACTCCTGGCCAGTCGGATCAATAACAATAGGATCCAAATTAGCTTCGCCCTGAACTTGGTTCTCAGACTCTGGAGCTGGAGTAGCCGGCTTAGTCTCAGTGTCTTCCTCCTCCGGCAAATACTCGATAATGTCATTGGTGTCGGGTTTCTCAACGAAGGTTACTCCATTCTCCTTGGCATCCAAGATGAAGACACGCGAATCGGTTATATCAATGGCCACAGTGTCCTCGGGATGGTAAACGACTTCCCCGTTACCACCGGTCAAGATGATAAGACTACCATCCTCAGTGGTTATCTCACGCATATTGCCCACCTGTTCAGGCTCGGCTAACGGGGAGTGGCCAGTGACTATATCATGAGTGCCATCAGGGCGCAGGACAAACATTTTGGCCACAGGACTGACAAAAATTTGCTCATCGGGTTTCTTGTTCTTGGTCAACTGGGGGCTAGTCTTAAAAGCGTTAGCAGCAGCACTAGTCGAAGGCTTCTCATCATCCTTCACAATCCCTTTCTTCTCGATAAACCTATGATAAAACGATATATATTCCATTAGAATATTCTAGAAAAAACCACTATGAACTCACCCTCCAAACGTCTTTACGGTCTTAGTCAATGTTTCAGTATCAACGAAAGTCACGAGATCATGATGACCGCCAATAATCTCGGTTATGTTGGCCATTTTCTCCTTGATTTCCTTCAACTTCTTCTCGATCTCCTCTGCCTCATTGCGGCCCGGAGACTTCGAGGACTTTGACAAGCCCAGCTTGTCGCGATCATTCTCGGCGTCATTATTCATGTTTCCCGGCATGATTTCCTTTTCAATTTCCGACAGTAGCACAAAGTTATTGATTCGACTCGGTTGACTTTGCAATGAGTATGGCTGAAATGAAATTTATGAAACCTTTTTAGCAAATGAGACAGATTCAAACGTGACCTACTAAGGATGACGATCTTCCTTTTTTAGAAGTTTGCGACTTTGAAATCGTAAAATAGTAGACAAGACTTCTGAACTAGAATGACAAAAACCAAACAGCTGCAAGCAAGGCTCCTTAGATTAGGAATTTGTTTTTGAGGAAAGATGTACACCCGACACTTCGACTTCGTTTCTTAGAACTTCACTCGTCTGCGACTTTTTAAATCGGAAACTAATAGAAAGGAGCACAAAATAGTTGACTAGACTCGGTTAACTTCCCAATGAGAATGACTAAAACCCAAGACTGAAACTGCTTAGTAAAAGTGACAGCTGAAAGCAAAGCCTACTTAAATCGTTTGAAATTTATTTAAGAATTTTAAATGCTTTCTTTATAGGGTTAAAAAGCCTACTAAGACCAGATCAAAGGCTCCTAAGATTTGAATTTATTTTTCATCGACTCTTAGTAGGCTTTCTGGCTTACGCGACTTTTTAAATCTTTAATACCTTCACGGCTCTTGGAAGCTCTTATACTTAGACTTTCGCGACTTTTGTAGAACTTCACACTTTCGCGACTTTTTAAAATTCAGAAAATAATCGGCAGGAGCACAAAATAGTTGACTAGACTTTACTAACTTCCCAATGAGAATGACTAAACCGAAGACTGAAACTGCTAAGTAAAAGTGACAGCTGAAAGCAGGCCTACTAAGATCAAAGGCTCCTATGATTTGATATTTTGATTTTAAAATAAACTTCAAATCATAGAAGACTTTGATCTTAGTAGGCCTGCTAAGCAGCTTCACAGGGTTGCCACTATATAAAATTGGCGGGAATAAGGCATTTTTTTCCGATTTGCGCAAAAACATATGATATAGCTTATAAAATATGCGAAACTTGCTCGTAATTTGACAAAAAAAACTGCACTTCCACCAGGAAAAGTAAAAATTTAGACTTTTTTGGAAATGTTTAATGATGTTATCCCTTACAATTAAGTCAAAACCATTTCCAAAAGTAAATCACCAAACGAATGAGAAGGAAAGTTTGTTTTGGTCGTAAGCTTCAGCGGACAGTCGTTCTATTAGCCCTGAGTCTTGTTATGGCTAAGTTAGGGACATAAAACCGATTTCATTTTCTATCAAAAGTCATAACTTCGCTATTAACCCTCCCTATATTTTGTTTATTCTTTAAACTTTAACTCAATACCATACCGCATGTGCATCCTCCGACATCGGAAAGCGAGAGAAAGAGAACAGGAAGATCACTTCAGTGTGACCAATATGATTAAAGATAAATATACTAATGTTCATAAATTAAAATGGTATTTTTAATATGATGAATGCCTCGAACGAACTCGTAATTAAAAAGCCAAACGAACTGCATTCAAAGTTTAAAAACTGAAAATTTAGCCATTTCAAGTCAAAGGTTGGTTTACAGATGATCTTTGATGAGTTTTTCTACTTTAAGCTTAATTCTATTTTATTTGGTCTTCAATTTTATTTGATCTTCTTTTTGTCTGGTGTTCCATTCCATATGCTCTTAGATTTTTACCGGGATTCGAACACGGACCGCCAATAATTTTTATTTGGGGGAGTCTACTTATCCCTAGGGTAACTGTTGGCGTAGATTGGACAGCTCCAAAATTTTAACCAACTTCGATTTTCATCCATACACTCTCCAATTTTTTATAGTATTAAAAATGCAAAATTTGTTTAATCCCGATTTTTAAACCAAGATGTCAGTACTATGACCATAACTAAGCCAATAATGGTCCGAATATGGAATCTCATATGTCAATAAGCTCGGTATTAAAATTCCAATAAAACTGTATTTACAGTTTAAAAAGTAAGATTTTAGCCAATTTTTGCAAATTTTGATGATGTTTCCCCTTATCGAAAGTGCAATACTTGATTCCTCCTTATTTCCCAACCAAATGTCAGCATAATACCCATAACTAATCCAATAATAGCCCAAATGTGGAATGTAATACCTCGTTGAACTCGCAATATAAATTCTAATAAAACTGCATTCACCGTTTAAAAAGTACAATTTTTGTCAATTTTTGAAAATTCTAATGTGGTTACCCCTTACAGAAAAATCAAAATTCAGCCAAAAACTAAAATTCAAAAAATCATCAAACGAATGATGAGAAAACTTAGTTTTGGTCGTTAGCTTCTCAAAACAGTTTTTATCTTAGCTGTGAGTCTTGTTTTGACTAAGTTATAGACATAAAACCTATAAAAAATATTCCATTTTCTGTCAGAAATCATAATCCAGATTTTTGTCTCCATTCTAATAAGAATTCTTCCCACCACAAACTCAAAAGTGGTTCAAGTATAGAATGTCATATATCGATGGACTCGTAATTAAAATTCTAACAAAACTGTATTCTTAGTTTAAAATGTACAATTTTACCAAATTTTCACAAAATTTAATGATGTTACCCCTTATCGAAAATGCAAATTTTTTTTCTTACTATTTTCCCTACCAAAATGACAGAATTTTTCTCATAACTAAGCCAATAATGATCCGAATATGGAATGTAATACCTCGTTAAGTTCGAAATTTGATTTGCAACCAAACTGTATTCACACCTTAAAACGTAAAAATTTTGCCGATTTTTGCAAATTTTGACGATGTTACCCCTTATCGAAAATCCAAAACTTCGTTGATGCAGATTTCCCCCCAAACTCATAGATTTATGCCCATAACTTAGCCGATAATTGTCCGAATATGGATTGTCATACCTCGTTGAGTTCGTAATTTGATTCCCAACAAAACTGCATTCCCACCTTGAAAAGTAAAAATTTTCCCATTTTTCGCAATTTTTGATGGGGGTAACACCTTACAAAAAATGCAAAATTTGGCCGAAAATTAAATTTCCCTAAATCATCAAACTAATGATGAAGCAATTTAGTTTTGGTCGTTAGCTTCTCAAAACAGTCTTTATCTTTGCTGTGCGTCTTGTTTTGACTAAGTTATAGACATAAAACCGATAGAAAATATTCAATTTTCTGTCAGAAATCATAAATCAGATTTTTATCTCCCCAATCAGATTTCTTCCCACCGCAAACTCAAAAGTGGTCCGAATATGGAATGTCATACATCGCTGGACTGGTAATTAAAATTCCAACAAAACTGCATTCACAGTTTAAAAAGTCAAATTTTAGCAATTTATCGCAAAATTTTGCGATAAAGAGAAAATTTGTTCAATCCTCAGCTTTCTTCCCAAAAATGACCATTTTCTTCATTACAAGCAACGATTACAATATATATACCCTCTTGCTCTAAAAGTAAAGGGTATTAACATAAGAGCCGCACTAACCCTTAGTCCTTCTTTGTTGGCTGACAAGTGTTCTGGCTGTGTAAGAACCCCTTTTCACCCGCTACCCCACTCTTTGGGCTGGACAAACTAATGTCATAGTCACGCCGCATGACGTTGACAACAATAATGTTGATGATGCTGGGTGCCAACCCAGGAAAACCCTTTGCCAACCTCCCTTCCCTAACCGCCTTTGTTCTATGACACTGTTGCTGATTTCGCATTTGCATCCCTTTGTTTGGCAAGTTTTTATTGTTCCTGGCCTACACCTGCTGCAGAAATGTTGGCCTTTCGTTTTTCGTAGTTTTCCTTTTGTGGTTAGTGTAGTGGACAACTTTTATTCATTTTGACAGCCACAAACAGTTCATTAAATAGGAAAATTCTGCACTTAATTGGTCGAAATCAAAGGAAGAAGAGAAGGACGGCTTTAGTTTTGTTGAAAGCGATGGGCCCTGGCAGGTGGTTTTCCTAGGTTGGTTGGAAAAATGTTGTAACTTTCACCGGCTAATGGCAGGAAATTTTGCAGCCTAACACAGCCTAGTGGCAATTTCTTTAGCATGCAGTGAAAATCATAGCAGATGAAAAATCATGAAAGGATGCTTCATTTCTAGACCGCAAAATGCCATCAATGCACTTGGAAAAAAGGTAGGTTTATGTATAGTTAAGAAAAGATAATGAAGTATATTATCAATGCCAATAATTACCTTTTCTGACAGTGCATCCTGCATGTGGCACACTTTCGGAGACTGCAACTGCAACTGGGCACTGCATTTGTGTGGAAAAATTAGTGGGCAATGCATTTGTATCCACATTTCACTGCGTTGCGGAAATGCGAAGTGAAATTTTGGGCAGAAACCAATGATGAACTCACTCTCCCTCTCCCTCTCTCTCTCTCTTTCTGTCAATTTCATGCGGTCGAAATGCCAGCCAATTTCCAGTTTCCATCCCTTTTGGATTTCTGTTGGCCAACTCAGAAATGGTTGGCCACCTTCTTTTAGGCCATTCAATTGTGTTGCCCCCCTCAAAAAATAAAACACCGAAGGTCTTAAGCTTTATACTTGATAACTGCGTTGTTTTTATTTTTCTTTTTTGTTTTTTTTACGTTCATCAAACTGCCGTGGGCCATAGATTATAGATTCCTTCAGAGGACACGGGCAAAGTAAAGTGGCCCGCACACATGGTCGTTACTTTGTGCATAATTATGTAATAAATCTGATTTCCATGGAGAGCAGCCAGCAATGATGATGGAGCGAGAGCAGGAGCAGGACTCGTAAAAGTTTCACTGACAAAAAGCGACGACAAAATGCCACGGGTCAATGGCAACACGCTCGTCAGAATCCAGTTACTACCAACGCCTCATACCCCCATCTCGCCATCTCCCCATTATATATAATTTATTATTAAAAAGGCTTAATGACAAAACTTTTGCATTTTATACCAACATACAAATTACGGCAATATATGTACGAGTATATGTGCAGGCCAAATCGAGGGTGAGAAAAAGTCGGTCGATGGGAAATGTTCCCAAAAAATCTCACAAATCTGACAATTTGAGTGGGAAGGAAGTTTCGGACCCTCTCCACATATTATCAGAGATATATATACATATTTCTTTTTTTAATAATTAAACAATTTTACAAGACTTTTTGAGGGTTATATTGCCATCAGATCTTAACTTTATCCCACAACCAATATTAATCCCACTTTCTTTAACCTTTTTTAGGTTAGTATCTAAACCCCCCAAAGATTCAGTTTTACTACCTCTGCCTGGAAATTATGAAATCGCAAAGGGAAATCAAAGCCACTTGGAAAGCTAACTTCTTCATCCTCCTGACATTGTGCTGGGGTGGAGAATTCCAAGCCATTTAGATGACTCGACAGGGAGCTGTGGAAATTATGCAAGCAAATGGGAAAATTTTCAATGAGCCGAGGCAGGCAGGCA